AAATAAACACAAGAAGTTATATTTTTATTAGAGCTATTATTAATACCTTATCTTAATTATGTGCTGAATGGTTTATATAATTTAAACTTTGCTAAGATAACTTGCTACATGAATGCTTTAAATTAATTTAGCATACCTACATGCTTCTGTATGTAACAGGTAACATTATGATATTTCAGTCTCTAACCTGAAACAAGCTCATCAGCATATTCATACCCATAATGCTGTTCTTCAGAAAAGATACTTCCTGTTATGGAGAAGCAGAACCATCAGACACATTCACAATCACAAATCAGCCAAAATCCCCATTTTCTTTGAATCTTATCAAATTAACCCTATATAATTTCAAATGATACACACAAGGTCCCACAAATGAATCTATGCAATTTACTTCACTTGCCCCTCTTACTGAAATGATTCCACTTTTGATCTCAACACATTAAACATCATCTGTCTGACAGACTCTTATTAATGCTATTAAATGAGATTGATGGCTCATGTCTCACCCCTCTGAGTGAAGTGATTGTGTCTGTGCTGAATCTCCTCATAAACGGCCTCAGTCGTCGTCCTGTGTCTCCTCTTAGAGAGAGCTGTGAGTGTAGACAGACAAACCTGCTGTCAGTTCACAACACATGACTGATCACACACTGAATAAGACACAATATGACAGTCTCTGGATCTCTCCTACCTCTCCTCATCACTCTGTTCTGCTGAATCAGTATAAGCAGTGGCACTAAGAGCAGTAAGAGCACAACTCCCAGTACAATCACAAGCACTGGGGGGACGGAGAGAGATGCTGCTGGAGGAGTTTGTGGAGGAGAGACTGATGTTGAGCGCACTGGAGGAGAAACTGGAGGAGAAGCTGATGTTGTTGTGGCAGGAGTAGAGGACACTGTCAAATCTGTCAAACACACAAACACATTCAAAATCATGCAAAACATTGATTTAAATATTATTAGCTCTAAACGCTTAAATGAATAATATTCCTCAGTGTTTGCTGTGACCTGCACAGGTGAGTCCAGTGTGCTCTTTGTGGGAGCAGTCAGTGGGGTTTTTCAGGGAGAGAGGACAGTCCCACAGGTGAATCTCATTCCCTTTGCACTCGACTTTGTTCATCCACACAACACCTTCACCAGCACCAAAGACTGAATTCCCATCAGCCCTCAGTGCTGCTCCACAACCCAGCTGCCTGCAGACCACCTGAGCATCGCTGATGTCCCACTGATCATCACAGACTGAGCCCCACACAGCGTTATGATACACCTCCAGCCTCCCAGAGCACCGGCCCTCCCCTCCACTCAGTCTGAGAGCAACATTATCTAAAACACACACATCACAAAAAAGTAGATACATTAATTGCCAGCAGAGTACTGTCAGAACAGCAGCGTCTGCACAGGAGTATGTGTGTGATCAGTTGTATATTCCAAAATGAAATGCTGGTTTCTCATATTAGAACACCATTATCTTACGTCCCTGTCGAAAAAACCAGCATATGGTGGTTAGATATGTTTTGAAGCATGGAAAACTAAGGACCATCTTAAACCAGCTGCCATGCTTCAAAACATACCTAACCAGCATATGCTGTTTTTGTCAACAGGGGTTGCATTCAACATTCATAATTTTCATGGTTGTTTCCATTAAATGAACTTACCCAAACACTGTCTCTGATGGGGAGATGTGGAGCATGTCAGAGAGCTTCGAGACTCATGACTCTTCTGTTCTGTAACAATTAAATATTATAAAATATGTATTCCAAACATCTTCTAAAAGCATTAATGCTAAAGGATAACTGTATTGTTTACTGATGGAAAAAGTATCTGTTTTACCTGAGCAGATGATTTTGGCCACTTCATCTTCACCACAGTCATTCTGTCCCCAGGATGAAGAAGGACACTGCCATAAAGTGGAATCATGTGGTCGACATGTAACTTTATCCAGCCAGTTAGGAGCTGATTTCACTTTTGGTGTAGAAGCAGACAAAACACCAGATCTTCCACAGTTCAGCTCTTGACAGATCAGACTCACTGTGTCTCTGTCCATCTTGTTGTAACATACATTACCCCAGGATCCATTGTAGAAAACCTCCACATTCCCTTCACAGCCCTCAGTTAACCTGATCTCCTTAAACTCTACATGAAAAAATTTACATTTTAAAATCACATAATTGGAAAATGTGAACACTACGGACACATGAATGTTGAAATGTG